CTGTGACTAAATGTTCAGAGACCAAATGATCTTAGACTTACTCTTAATTATTGGATCATGAACTTGCAGTGACAAACATAATAAACAGAGAGCCGAAGACCAGACCTTGAACTACAGAATCTTCTAACAGAACTTTAGATGTTCTACAGGTCATGTACGACACCCAAGTTCGAACAAAAAAAATTCAAACAACTCCCAGGAGTACTTGACCTGAATTTTAGACTTAGCACTAGAATTTCCAAGGAGACAAGTTCTAACATAGGAATTTCAAGGGAATCAGTCCATTTCCTGCAGGAACATAAATTAAAGTTAGTGTTCAAAACTTAGCACTAGAAGACCAGTCCCAAACTTTTCAAACTTTGCATAATTACTTCAAGTGCTGAACATAAATTTAGAGTTGGTGACAATGATCATCAGAAAGCTCTGCAATAATTTTAGACTCACTAAAGACAAAATCTTGTCATAGTTGAGAACTTGGGATCCTTACTGAAAACGAAATCTAAGCAAGTTTGTGTTAAGAACTTGAGCTCCTTACTGAAAACATAATGTACAACAGTTTGGCCACAGGTTTGAAATCACATGAATATTTTGACACTATAGACTTATTTCTCGAAATGGTGCCATGGCAGCCATTTATATTGCTTCATGCCAGTACAACAATCAAGAGTTGAAAACTCAGTACACTGTGTACTCGAAATTTTCTACTCCTGCCAATCCAACAATGCAAAGTTCAATTTTCATTGCAAAATTCAGTTAGCATGTTAACAATATCAGTTAACCGCACAGCCAAGAAAAGGCTTGCCAAAGAAGAAGAAAATGCTACTGATACCCTGGACTTCGTAGACTAGTGAATAGTCAATACCCCTATACCAATAAATCATGTCAGGTTCATCAGGAAAATTCCTGGAAGTAGAATGATAAAATGTGTGGTTCTGAACTCGAAAATTATTCAAGTGTGGTTCTGTTCCTTTTTTCAGTTTCAGCAGAACTTGAGTCTAGCAGGCTGAAGCATTTTGAAACAATGACAAAAGACTTGATTGCAGTCTAAAACAATGACAAAATTACTTTCCACATCATGAAACAAATGACAAATTTACTTGAAAAGGAGTACTCCATTTATCTACCTCTGTCATGAAAGGAGTACTCTACTAGACAGCAGCAGTAGTACAGCAAGTACTGCCGGCCGCCCTCTTAACTAATTCATTCATGGATGATTTTAATCACTGACTCATCCTGCTAGATCCATCACTAAAGCTAATTAGTAATTTGATTTATCTGACATTTGCTAGTTGACAATAAATGTTCACTCTTATCTCACATTTGCTAGTTGAAATGCATAAATTCAGTTGTTCAAGTTTCAGTCTAAGCTAGAATTTCCAGTTTACACACAGATGTTGTCAGGCCAAGTGCGATGCCCTAGTGAGACTGAGGTTGCAGTCAATTAGGTAAAAATAGGATGAGCTGCTGAAGAAATTAGGCAATTAGCCCATTGTGTCCCCAAGTGTGACCCCCTAGTTACACACAGATGTTGTCAGGCCAAGTGTGATCCCCTAGTGAGATTTGTCTGCCATGTTTTGCTAACTGAAGAAATACCAGTTGGCTGGCACGCAGTCTTAAGCAAATCTCAGAAGCAGCAAATTTCAGTAAAAAAAATTCAGTTTTTACACATAAATCATGGACGGGAATTAAAGGAGGGAGGAGCCGAGCTGCGGGGGAGCGGACCTCCGGCGCGACAGAGGAGTGGG